ATTATATTTCTAAATAATAAATGTATTTTCATTGTATTATTCTTTAGTATTTAAATAAATAAATAAATGAAGTATGTGTTTTTAATTTTGTCCTTAGTCTTAAACAACAGTAAAGAATAAAATAGCATAAATACTATAAAAAGAAAGAAAATTGTGTCAATTTTTGAAAATTACCAGAGCCATCATATGCTTACGAGCTGAACAATTTGAAAAAAAGCTGAAGTTAATCCCGCGCTTTAATTCTGAAAAAGATCCAATGCAACTTATGCTCTCCTAATACAAATCTTGAAATTTATGAAAATTTTCGATTTTAAACCAAATACGAGGGTTAGTGAAAAAGTAATGGAAAAATCAAAAATTGTTTTTTGAAATTTGGTTGTTCCATAACTTTCTGACCAGCCCTCGTATATGACGCAAAACTGAAAATTTTGTTAAATCTGAAAATTTGTATTAGGAGAGCATAAGTCGCAAGAGGTCTTTTTCAATTTCAAAAAAGAATTTTTTGAATAACCCTGGTATTTGGCTCAAAATCGAAATTTTTCATAAATTTCAACATTTGTATTAGGAGAGCATAAGTCGCAAGAGGTATTTTTCAAAGTACCAATTTTTAGCGCGGGATCAGCTGTATAGCATTCGTTTTTCGTTTTCAGCGCTAAAAATCGGTACTTTGAAAAAGACCTCTTGCGACTTATGCTCTCCTAATACAAATTTTCAGATTTAACAAAATTTTCAGATTTGCGATATATACGAGGGTCGGTCGAAAAGTTTTGGAAAAAATACTTTTAAAAAGACCTTTTGCTACTTATGCTCTCCTGATACAAATTTTCAGATTTAACAAAATTTTCAGTTTTGCGTTATATACGAGGGCTGGTCGAAAAGTTTTGGAAAAAATACTTTTAAAAAGACCTTTTGCGACTTATGCTCTCCTGATACAAATTTTCAGACTTAACAAAATTNGTACATGCGGCAGACCACATATCTATAGCGTAGTCGTACGCTATACCCAAAATGATCTCAGGAGCTCGGTAAAATCTTGACACAAGGTAGGGCGTTATTTCGTTGTCGGTTATGTATGAGGCCGAACCGAAATCGCATAATTTTAGTACTAACTTGCTCTCATTTACCAAAATATTGTCCGGTTTGATATCTTAAAACAAATTATATGCAATAAATATTAAAAAAATATCACAATTAATGTGGTAAAAATGTAACGTACCATCGATATACACCACGCCTAAAAATAAGAAAAACAGAAAAATAAACTTACCAGCATGTAAGACACCGGTTTTTTTAAGTAGTTTTAACGCTAGTAGTAGCTGTTGTGTATAACTTCTGACAGCTTTTATATGCAAACCAACGTTTTTACCGTATTTTTTTAACACTTCTCTAAGATTCATAGACAAGGGTTCAAACACTAAACACAGATGTTGCTTGTGGAAAAAATGTCTAAATAATCTTAGACAATGGAACCTGTCTTCAGCATCTGCATCATTTAGTTTTTTTAACACTTCCAGTTCTTTAAGACCAGTCTTATGCCTGCAACAATTTTTTATCTAATCTATATCTATACATCTATATATACATATAAATAAAATTGAACTATCTATCAGTAATATCGAAGTAAGCGTTCTTTTTAAAATCATAGGGTGACTCGTACGCTATTAAAACACAAACGATCTTTAAACATTTTTAGTTTACTGTCTGTATGGGCTAATTTTTTGGTTTGCTTGTTTGTTTATTTGTACGGAATAATCATTGAAACGGCTGAATCGATTTCGATGGCTTTTTTTTACGTGGAAAAATATTATTAAATGCTTAATAAAATTGATTTGAAGATATTTTGCTACTAGATGCCCATCGGGAACAATTTTTGATCACATAATGACACTTACATGATTTCGTTATTTCTAATTATTTTTACAGCTACATCCTGGCTGCCTCTTGCTTGATCTCTGGCTCTAACGACACTACTGAAAACACCCTGTCCAGTATGACCATAAACAGTGTATCTATTGTCCAAATTTTCCCCTATTCGTACCCTGTAATAACCTTCTGTATCATCCCAGTTATCAGTCAGAGAGGGGTTATCATAAGCACTGCCCTTGTGTGTTATATTACTTGGGGACTGAAACAGGTAAATGTTAAAGATAAAAATGTATATGAGTAGAATCAAAACCAATGAGGCGAAACGATGGTGTTGGTTTTGCATTGGAATAAAAAACTTTTCAAGCCTCATTGGCTCTGATTTTCGACTCACATCTAAACTAAGCGAATATATATATATATATATANTCCAGCGTCGATCTGAAACAGATACGGTAGTAATAGATTAATAAAGAGCAATTAAAATTAACTATTATCAAGTTTCTCACCTTAATTAACTGTAGACTGCTACCTCTCAATGTTTGCATGTGTAAAAAGCAAACCAAATCCAGAATACCACGGCAGAAAGTCTGTTGCTCAAATAAGTCTCCAGTTGCTTCCACTCATCGGTTGAAAATTAACTGCATAGGTTGCGAGGTGAAGACACAAATAGTAAATCAAAACCAAGTTCAGAAACGAAAACACCCATGTAGACATTAGCCGTTTCAGTACAGCCAAACTGAACTCATTTGTTCGATAATCTGTAGAGATGGACAAAAAAATGTATTAATTACACTATAAGTAAGGAAAGAATTAAAAACCCCTAACAATAAGCACCAAGAAGCAAATAAAATTGCTGAATCATAATAAAATGGCGACAAACGTTATTGACACCATGACCATAGATCATGACATAAATATGGATAGTCATAGACGCACGATAATACGTCAATTTATACTCTCAACCATAGACATATAATAATATAGCAGTATAAGTCGATGATCTCAACAATAGATTTTTAAAAAAATGAAATACCGTAGATACACGTTAACCTCAATTTATACTGTACAAAAGATAATTGTTTATTAGTAAGACATAGAGAGCAACTAATATGATGTCATGCAGGAAGTAGCAGAAGTAGTAGTCTCCAAGTGTAATGGTCAAGTCAAATCCAAGAGGAAATCCACACTTGTTTCAGTCCTTTCCAAACTAATTTCCCGTTGCCTCCTCCTCGAAAGTTCAAAATTAACTCCATAATGTTGCAAAGTGAAGACATCAATAGCATATATTACTTCAGTAGCATCAAAATTAACTGCAATTCCTTCCCTTTTGTTGGATAATCTATACAAACGGGCACTTTCAAAGCAAGTAAATCTGTAAAATTCACACTGATGGAAACGTTAGCTCCACATTAATTCAGTTATGCTAATTCTGCCATTTCTGAAAAGTTGTCAAGTTATCTAATGACAGTAACAAACGTCTACGAAATTGAGGTCTGGGACCTCATTTACTGTTTTTAATTGATACTATTCCTTACCAGTTCATTCATTGTTATAAATCCTTCCTTTAGCAATGCCACACTGTCTCTGTTCCAAATGAAACAAAGGCACTGTCATGCTTTCTTTCGACACACGTGCAGCTATTTTCTGGAGTGAATGTTCCTGTAAAATGAAATCTTATTGAAGAGTATTCACATATAATGGAGGCTCTCTAGAGGATGACGTGCATAATATAATGCTAAAGTTAATATCACATTAAATATAATATGTAATTGTGGCAAATAAATAAATATATATTTTAGTACGTATGCTCACCTAAATTAACTACAAGATCCTCCAAGATGAAAAAATTTGCTTTTCAGTGGCATCAGAATGAACATTCTTCCACTTTTAATTTATTGTCAATCTGAAAAAATAGAGAATAAAATTGAATAAACTACACCTTAAAATAATTAAAACACGAAATATAATGAAAATACGCACCGGAAAGTAACATTGCAAAATTTTAAAAATGGCGACGAAACGTCGCTTTTAACACAAAATGGCAAGATGAACAAAACGCATAAGATTCATAACATTTTTTTCAGGAGTATTCTTCTTCACTTCCACAGAAATTTTAATCGTTTTCTTCAAATTTTTGTTCTTTATGAATTCTCTTGACCGAATCGACAATGTAATGGTAGTGGCGCTATAAACGCCAAAAGTATTTTCAGAAAAAATTTAAATAAAATCAAGGTATTACTTCGACATTTCATTATAAAAAGAAGTTAGATAGACGTATGTACTATATATTCTCACCTTTGTTAGCTGCAGACTATAATGTTCTAAAATTCAAACATGCAAAAAACCATACAAATTTGGAAAGAAATAACGGCGTTTTAATGGTGAAGTTAGAGACAGGTGAAAGGAAAAATAATTGATGTGCATGTTATTAATGTACCATTAGTTATTAATCAAAATAAACATCTCTTATGTTCAAAATTCAATGATTTAATACTCCTTGTTCCTTGACTTCTTATCCTCTTACTCAGGTTAATATATACAAAAATTAAAATAAATGCTCCATCTCTTTTATTATGTTAACTTTAACACTGTCAGAAAGAATCAAGTTGTATATTAATTCTGCTGCTGTTTGTTGACATTTCCGAAATAATGTTTAAAACTTAACTATTAAAAGAGCATTACAAATGTCCAAGAACTTGACCTTTCTGGAATCTCATCCATTATTTTTAATTGATATTGTTACTTACCCACTCGTTCCCAACCAAAAAAGAGCCATTTTTCTTTAGGACTTTAAGTACTGCTATTTTGTTGAGTAAAGGAGGGCTGATACAATCTATTCTGCATAACATATGACATCCAAAGTTTTGAAAATATTCCTGTAAAATGAAATCTTATGAAAGATATTTGTTTACAGTATAGGTGTTACCTATATATACAATCTAATTTACATTGAACCATATCAATTTTAATTTAAATATATTTGCATAATGTTGCTAAGAATTATTTACTAGATTAAAAAATATTAAGATATAAATAGCATACAATTAGGATCTGTACTAAGAACATGATAACAGAATACTAATGTTTTTATTAGAAACAAAGGGATAAACTTTCAATTTATACAAAAAGTAACTTTAAAGAAGCTTATCACTTATCCTTATTGCCTTTGACTTTAAGTTACAAATGTTTAAGAAATTGAAGTTTTACTGTTTTTAATTGATACTGTTACTTACCAGTGCATTCATTGTCATAAATCTTTCCTTTAGCAATGGCACACTGTCTCCATTCCAAATAGAAAGAAAGTACTTCATGCTTTCTTTGGGAGTACAGGTGCAGCTACTTTCTGGAGGGTATGTTCCTGTAAAATGAAATCTAATGAAATAAGAGTATCCACATATAATTTAGAAAATTACGTGCATAATACAATGTTAAAGTTAATTCAAATAAATATACTTGGACTAGATTTGTAATTGTGGTAAATAAATAAAATATGTATATTATAGCATGTATGTTCGCCAAAATTAACTATATTATCCTCAAAGATGAAGAGCACACTACAGTAGACGATTTACTTCTCAGTAGCATCAAAATGAACTCTTTCACTCTTATTTATCGTCAATCTTTAAAAATAAAGAAAAAAAAAACGGATAAACTAAATTATTAAACAATTAAAACATGAAATAGAATGAAGATACGCACCTAGACGCAAGTAAAGCTGCAAAATCTTAAAAATGGGGACACCAAGCAGCATTCAAAGATAATAGATTTACAAAGTGAAAAGGGTAGCATTTAATGTAAAATAGCAACATGAATTCTCCTAGATTCAAAAAAATTTTAAGAGATGTTTTCTTTGAATTTTTGTTCTTTATGATTTCTTGTGACGGAATCATAGATAATAGATACACAAATGGACGGAATCAATACATGTAGTGGCGCTATAAACGCCAATTGGGTATGCAAAAGAAGGAATTGCAATAAGCAGAACATTAAGATAAAGAAGTATTTTCATAACGGGTTTTTTTCTTGACTGGTCCATCAACATTCTGAAAGACGTAGGGTGGTAACAGATGAATTAAAAGTAATTAAAATTAATTATACAGGGATTACATCTATGGAAGAATTTGGGATACAAATAATGTGTGTGTATATAATAAGTAAATCACTTGATCTACCGATTACCCTTTGTAGATCTATTATCTATGATCTACCGTTTCTGTACAAGTGAACTACAGCAATTATATGCCAAGTTGGCTGTAACAATAATAAGAACTACATAATTAAAATTAATTAATCCCAAAAACTAATACGTCTAATTTTTAATTTTATCATAAAAATCCAGAAAGAATTTATTTTTTTTGCTTACCTATTTTCTCTGTTACATTTACTAATCAATCAGCAAAATCGATTATATGTAAGCCAGTAGATAAGATGGCTATAAACAAAAGAGTATGTTTAGAAAGGATCGAGGATTATGAAACTTTTGACAAATTAAATTAAACAAGATATGATAAGATTAACATGAAGGTTCTGGAAAATTTGAAAAATCAATAATTAATGTCATGTACGTTCTACAATTTATTACAGTCACATGCAAGTGAACTACGTAAGTGTTTTTACCAAAGCTTGAAGATGTCTTCTAGCGCCCCTTTCTATAACACCGTTTTAAATTTAACAAAACAAGCTGGAAAGGTAATTAATAATGTATGGAAAAACAAGACACTTCAGTTAATTTAACCAAATTTTTAGTTAATTAGAGAGAGAATTTCGCAGCTTAATAAAAACGTCGAAACAAAATCATGTGAAATTGATTTTGTGACTGAAACTGATCAGGAAGTAGAAAAATTATTAATTGACGGTTTGAAGCAAGCATTTCCTGACCATCAATTTATCGGTGAAGAGTCGGTTTCATCAGGTGAGCAATGCAACTTGACTGAAATTCCGACATGGATAATAGATCCTGTGGATGGTACCATGAACTTTGTCCATGGATTTCCACATTCTTGTATCTCCATTGCTCTTTTTATCGACCGACAACCGGAAATAGGAATAATTTATAACCCTATGTTAGAGCAACTGTTTACTGCTCGAAAAGGTGAAGGGGCATTTTTAAATGGAAAACCGATAAAAGTTTCACAACAGCAAAACCTTTCTAATTCACTTGTTATGCTAGAAAACGGTACCAGTCGTGATTCTGAAAAATTGAAGATTATACTGGAAAATCAGAATATTCTCTTACCACAAGTACATGGGTAAGGCACTTGTATAGAATATAACATAATCATAGCATAATTAAAAATTTAGGACTAGATCATTGGGGTCATGTGCATTAAATATGGCAATGGTAGCAATGGGCGCCGCTGATGCTTACTTTGAGTTTGGTATTCATATTTGGGACATTGCAGCAGGAGAACTGATTATTAATGAAGCTGGAGGAGTTGTTGTGGACCCTGCAGGAGGGCCCATTGATCGTATGTCACGGAGAATGTTATGTGCAGGCTCCAGCGCTTTAGCTGAGGAGATATCACAAAAGATTGTACAATATTACCCACAACCAAGGGATTAAAAAATAGAGTACTTGAAATGAAAATAGTAGAAAAATACAAATATCTCAGGATTTAAAAACTAAACGGTATTCATGATGAAGGAAATTTTAAAATACTTTTGAACCTTCTATTATGTTCTAAGAGATTTTGAAATTATTTTTAAATTTATCCAATGAAGGCACACTGTTGCAAGAGGGGGCTTCCTTAAGAATTATTTTTTCGATTTTAAACGTTACATTTATTGTTTTTTAAGTCACTCTTAATTAACTTATCAGTATTTATTTCTGCTACCCCTTTAGCAATGGTCTATAATGTGAATATCTATTTCAGTTTTTAAATTGACCCCATAATTACTATCAATCGTTGTAAGCCATAATTATTTTACTTTTATATGTTTCTATTGATATTACTAACATGAAGTTTTTTATTACTTTTTGAAGTATTTATTCAATATAATAGGTACCTAAAAATTATTATACTCTAAATTTTGTTGCTTGAATAATACCGACGTTGGTTAATAAAAATGAATGTTTAAGAGTTTTTTTTTCGTGGTTTAATTCAATATAGTAAAATTAAGACCAAATGGGAATTAGATTCGTCCTAAATGAAGTTCGATTCGCATACAGGCGGTTCTGTACCAACCTAATGGATACGTTAAAGTTTACGAAAATTTTCATTAATTCTGATCTTTTTCATAATTTTCGATTCAGTGGTTTGGGAAACATACTTTTTTATACGCAATTTTAAAAACAACTCTCAAAATATCTTAGCTCTTTTTCAGCTTCTACAAAATTATTGTTAATTG